TAATTAAGATACAAATTAAGAACACCTTTTCAGCATTATTGTCATTAAAAAAATAAAATTTAGTATTTATTTAATCAATCATCTAATTAAAATTATACATGTAGCATTGATGATGAAATTAACATTAGCTTTTGTTACTTTCTATTCTAATTAATATAAAAAATGTGTATTAATTACATCTTTAATCAGTATTCTAAAAGCACAGGTTAGATAAATTCTTTATCAAAATTTAATTTTTTTACAATAAATATCCATAATAATATACTATTCATATAATATGATCACTACAAGCAGATGCATTTATATCGACGAAAGTTTTTCGTCTGTATAGACTCATTTTTCGTTGGTATAGACCCCATGGACTATTCCAACAGACTAACTTTCAGTCGGTGAAAACCTCGTCAGTATAGGGTCTATACCAACGCCAAATCCATCTGTATAGACCCTTGGGGTTTATTTCAATGGAAGACCTGTCCGTTGGTATAGACCTTGAAAAATCTTAAAAAAATTTTTCGTTGGTATAGACCCTTAGCTTTACAAACAGATAATTCCATTGGTATAGATCATTTTTTTTTTTTTACCAACCTTAAGAACAACAGTTTGGATCCAAACCAAAACCAAAATCGAAATAAGGTTCAATAAATTTGCCAAGAAAAGCTCTGCAATCCATTCTTTTATTGGAACCACAAAACATAACTACCTTAAATCTTTTCATCAAAAAATATAAACCACACTAACCATTACTGTCATCTGGGTACAAAAAGCAAGAATTTCAGCATAGATCTTTAAAAGAAATTGTAGATCTTTAATTACTGTCATCTAAGTACAACATCAGTATAGATCTTTAAAAGAAATTATACCTACCAATATTCTAAACACATATTCTTTATTTTCCATCAGTATACCAACAACTAACCTTAAAACAAAAGACATGGTCAACACATATAGCAGCTGTTGATGAGAAAGCATAGGAAGATGGTTCATAGAGGCTCTCCGTACCGCAGCTTCTTTAGCTACTTGAAGCCACCGTGGAGTTTCGAAATTTGCAGCTTCCCCACAATTAAAACCTAATTTGGAAAACAAAAAGATTCTTAATGGAAAATTAAGAACAAGAGGAAGGGTGGAACAAAAGTGACTTATTTTAATGGGAAAATAAAGAGACATTCACACAAACTTTTGTACAATTTCGAAGTTCTGGTTTAGTTATTGATAAAAATGCAATGAGTATGCATACCTATTGGCTGTTAGAAGTTATAACACCATAGTATCTTTAAAATTCTAGCAGAAGGTAAAAAGTATAAAGAAAATGTAAGCAACTCATGTGGCTGAATCCTGCATGGTATGCCCTCAGGAAAGTCACAACAAATTCACCAACATTCTGTACTAACCTAAAGTGAAAAAACCAAAATATACATGAGTAGAACTTCAAGATAGAAAATGAGTACAAGAAGCAAATGCCTTGCACTCCATTCTGTATGGGGCAATAACTTTTGGCATAGTTGTGCATTTTGAAACCCTTAATGGAACATAAAAAAAGGTATCCTAGTATCATAAAAAAATAATAATAGCAAGAAGTAAATAAAGTAAAACGAGCATTTACTTTTTTGAATGCCAAGCAATGTTTGCAAACACGAACCCTATAAAGGCACCTTAATTATAAAACACTTGAAAGGCATGAAATATATATAGAAAAATATCTGAAGATATTTAAGATGTTTATAAGGTAAAAGCTAAGATGCCAGCAAAAATTGTTTTAATTTCTTCCCAAATTCAGGTCAATTTTTTTTACGTTCCACAAGATAGCATACCAACTGTGTATTCTAATTTATCAATCTATATAAAAAATTTCATTCAATTTTAGTTTGACAAAATTCTTCAATGGCAAAATAGGAGAAATCACAAAACTAGTTAAATATAGCCCAGAGGGCATAACCTTCCTTTCCCCACAAAACAAATAATGAGTTTGATCAAGGTCAAGGTTGAACATATTTGGGAGCTTCACTCATTTAAGAATTTTAATTTTTCCAGCCAATCAAACAGGTCAGAACTATCAAAAGATACAAAAATTCAAATTTCACATATTTCATTCATCCGAGAGTAGAGGCAAGAAAGAATAAGAATTCCATTAAAATATATCACTAAACAGTCATGTCAAAGAATGAAGTATTGGCTAGATCTAGCATATTATTGATGGAGAATAATAGTAGAAACAAACCAAAGAGGCAAAGAGTGGCTGAATGGAGCACCCACGTTGGGGTGTTTGTAGCAATTACCTGACTGATCTTGTTAATCCAAGTGGAGAAGCTTTGAAAGTTTGGCAAGAAGAAAGACTTTTTCATGGAGATTGGATGCCGCAGAGCTGTGGTAAGTGTCGATGTCAGTGAGGAGTTTCTAATTGGATTGGAAATCTAAATTTGAAACCTTAAGAAATTCCAATTTACCAATAATTATATTGAAGGAAATGACATTAATGGAAATGACAAAACAAATTATATTGAAGAAATTGAAAGTAGTATTATTGCATTATTAACATTCATTAATAAAATAAGAATATAGGATTACTAACAAGATCAACAAGACTTTTCATCTTTAGCTAAGCATACAAATAGTAAAATTCACATTAAAGGCATATGACTTTTTATCTTTATATAAATTTGTAAAAATGATAACAAGTTAAATTTCAAGGTAATTAGCATCCATCAATTCAAAAACCAACATCACATCCCTGAGATTCTCCAAAAAAAGAAATTAAGTGCAACAGAGCACATTAGGTAGAACAAATGCAGAAAAAAAAAAAAAAAGGAGAGAGCAAATAGATGTTAAAATTAATTCTATCTTTTGCATCAGTTACATAGCCTCAAAATCCTATAGGCTAATACATTAAGAACTTGAAATTCATAATCATCTAAAGATTGAAAAGCAAATGGAAACTTGATAAATGCATAACAAAATTAAAGTGAAAAGGAGATGAACAAACTTTTGCATGAATCTTTCATAGAAAGAGAAAATCAACTATGCCCCAGCCTTAACAAATGAATTAGGTGCAGCTTGTAAAATAGAAAAGCAAAGATCAATACAAATAAATCTTGTTAAGAAATTCCAAAATTATTTTAAAAAAGGAAATCTAAGAGAATAGTGGCTGTTCTCCTCACTGCCGCCTCCTAACCCAACTGATCAAGCAACCATGAAAGGGGAAAAATAACTAAAACTAAACACTTATCTTTAGTTTAGTTTCCCTAAAAAAGATGAGGAAAAAAACTAACACTGCAAGTTTAGTTTATGCATGGGACTATGAAGCTTAATACTCAAATAAGTACAAAAACTAAAACTCAGATTTATTTACTACTTTTCTTCCCTTCCCTTTTCTCTCCATTTTCCCAAATTTATCCATCTTTTGTATCTTTTCTCTATCCTCTACAGTAAATGAAGATTATACATTAGAGACCAAATTTGGCACCCACCTAGCACCACATCCAGTCTCTAGCAATACAGAACCTGGTATTTAAAAAAAAAAAAAAAAATACTTACATGGTCACTTTGATTATTTTCTTCTATATCAGTCTCAACATAAATAAGTGATTCCTCCATTGAGTTACCATTTCTGCATGCATTGAGTTTGGACAACAGGTCTCAAAAATAGTAGAATGATGAAGATAAACTATCATATTGCACGCATATATATCCCAATATCTAATAAAATAATTAGATGACATTTTATGACACAACAAATTTCTGAATCTTCTTATAAGTAACCTTTGGTACCAATTAAATTTCAATTACCCACTTATAAAACCCAAACTTCAAGCCATACCTGATCTTTGGAGATGCTCGCTTTATCCTGATATAGTTAATAAATATGCCGAACATGATATCCAGAAAAACAATGCTGCTCTCTTTTAGACATTCAAACATCTACATAACAAACAAAAATTATTAAGAAACTATTGTCCAACAAAGGAAAATAAACTCAATACTACCATCAACTTTTAATCAGCTCAACTACAAAGTACAGAAAGCTCATAAAGAAGTTGCCATGAGCTCTAAGGTTTCTCAAGAGGAATAGGATAAAACCTATTTTGCCAAATGGTAAAGGAGCCCATTGAGCCATGTGGCTGAAAGATGTCATTCTAGGGTGAACAAGGTCAATGAACATACAAGTCTAACACACAAGAGTGCCAAATATGGAGCATTATTCCAGTTTGGTTCCCAAACATCAAATGAAGCTTCCACAAAAACTTTGAGATAAGTGAACTCCTATCGAAATTCAAAACCCTAGGATTAAGCTCAAAACAGAAATTCAGGTTTTCAAAACATTCTCCCCCAATTATCACCACACTGTTTCACTACAGAACCCTAGGATTATGCTCAAAATGCATTACCTTAAGCAGACTAGATCTAGGGTTGAAAGGAAGTTACCAGATTTTGAAGCACAAGGAATGAGAAGTTCAGCGGTTGCGCCGGAGAAAGAGGCCTGCCAAATCGAGCATTGGAGATCCAAAACCGCCAACATCGAATCTGTCCTCCAGGCACACACTAGTCGGCTCCACCAAAGGGTTGATCAGAGTCTGAAACATGGATCCAATGTCCCCAGTGCTGGATCAAGTCGAAAAGTCGTCAAGGTTAACCAAATTTTTTGGATCGAATGTCAGATTTGCGCTATTGGAGAACTGTCCCAAAAAGAGAACGTCGGCTGGCCCCTTCGATCGGACGATGATGGCATGAACAACGAGAAGGAGAAAGGGAAAGGATAGGAGAGAGAAGAGAGAAAAGGGAAATGAATTTTGGTGAAGGTTGGAGTCGAACTAGATTTGGGAGAGGGAAATATTTAGGTTTAGCTGGGGAGGGAAACTCGGAATGTAGGGAAGGAAAATTGGGGGAAATGTGGAAGGAAGTGAAAATAAGGACAGCCGGCTAAAATCAAAGAGGAAAAAATTGAGTTTAACAAATAGTAAATTATACAGACAGTACATAGAAATTTGTATGTATAAATATATTTATACAAACACAAGATGATTACCGTTGGTATTGATATTCTCTATACAGATGGATAATAATTTTTCGTTTGTATAAACCAAACCTATACTAACAGATATAATTTTTCGTTTGTATAGACCTAACCTATACTAACGGATATATTTTTCTATTGGTATAGACGGATATATTTTTCCGTTGGTATAGACCCGTGTATACAAACGGATTTCAATCCGTCAGTATAGACTTCTGTTGGTAAAAGGCATTTTGCTTGTAGTGGATGTTCTTTGTACTAGGGTCTTCAATACTATTGTGGTATTACATAGTTTTCTCAAATGCTTAATTTGGACCACATAACAAGTGCTACATAAA